AAGGAGAAGGAGATGAGCCCTCTAGGGCAGCACTGCTGGGGGTTAGTCAAGTGTGACTTTCAAACTCCCTTCATCTTTGTGCCCTTCAGAACAGCACAGGCTGTGTTTAAAAGGTCTGCAAATGGAGAAACCACAGTTCAGTGATTCTTTTTCTGTTGCTTCTATCACTCTGTAGTCAGCTTTTATCTTTCCATCCATCCAACTTCTATGAAAAAATTCTTAAAGAAATAGCATCTGCTCACACGGAATGGGGAAAAATGTGTAGAATGTCTCTTAAAATAGTAGCGTAAGTGGAAGCTTCTTCTGAAATTAGGGCAGAAGAGTTGCCTGATGGAAGGGTAAAAAAAAAAAAAGGTGTTTCTAGTGGAAAGAATTAACCTGTAGAGTATTTGCTTATTTGTAACCACTACAGAATTTGGTACGATTTTGTTGATCATATGATAATTCCAGCATTCTACAAATGACCTTCTCTCATTTCTTTTTCTTCTGTGAGGACTTTCAAGACCACTTTCTATCATCGCCGTAGTTGGGAAAACTTTTGAGAAAATCTACACTGAGATCAATAGCCAGACGCTTTGTTTTTTCTGTTTTGTAGGTAGTGATGATATGATTTTGTCTCCAAGGAGAATGTACACAGTGAGTCTTCCTCCGGAGGGTTACGCCGCAGTTACTCCAGATGCTATTAGTATTTCAGTTTCTGAAAACTCAGACAGTAGTGCTGACTCAACAGGTAAGCCTGCACGGTTGCTATTATCATGAATTTTTGTCTAAAGAAACTTCTTATCAACTCTTATCAAGTAGATTCAAATTGCAACAATTAAGTATTTAAGCTGTTGCTGCCAGTGGGTGTCACTGTTTTGCAACATAAGCAAAATGAAGATGTACATCCCTATGGGTTCATTTTGGAGTTTGAAGACCAGGTTCAACATTTGGTTGCGGCCGTACGGCGTCACTGATCTTGCTGAAGTTATATGAAGTGTAACTGAAAATAAAGTCTTCTGCCCCTCCCACTCAAATGCCACATGTGTATTCATATTATGCCTGCTTACAGTCATATTGTTTTTAAGAGTAAATGTTAGATAAAGCTGTTTTAATAAGTCTTACTCCTGATGTTCTAAGGAATTGGGAAAGACTTAACGACCTTTCAGATTTACCTCTCCCAATTAGAACAGACCTCCACCTGACTGGAGTTGATGGGGGAAGATATCAATCCTTTAGCATTGAGAGGCTTTCTGATGAGAAACTGTGACCAGTTAACTTCAGAACCAATATTTAGCGTTGTCAAAGGATACAAGAGAAGCCGCACAGAATCTGTAAAGAAGTGGGCTCTAAGTTGACCTCAGTTAAAAACATAGTTTTCTGAATGACATTGCCGGAATTAAGTTGATTCTTATCTACCTTAGAAAGAAGTCAAAAGCTTAGATAAGACAAATTCATTTAGTTTTTTTCAAGTGCTATGTTCCTGAGGGTGTATGTTTGTCCAAAACTGTGTATCATTGTCATCTGCTGCTAGGGGCAGTCTAGAGCAAATAAAATGTCCAGGTGAGCCTGCTGAAGTAAAACACTTCATAAGCAGTATTTATTAAACTACTATGTCTACTTCAGCTTGGAGACTGCCTAAATGTAAGGAAAACCTGAGATACAACCTGCAGATCCAGGAAGGCAAATGCTCCTTGCCTTTGAAAATAGTACCCACAGGGGTGAATTTTCAGCTTGGAAATTGGGTCTACTCTCTATTCTGAGCTCAGTTCAGAATCTGAATACAAGTAAACTGTCAAAATAGCCCAAGTGACTGAAGCAAAGCACAGCGTAACTGATGGCACATCAAGAAAGTTCTTGCTTGGTGTGAAATGGTTTAAAGATGTTTTTCGGACTGGGGAAGAAGTAACTTTACCAGAATAACATAAGAGTCGATCTTGATACTTTTGGGATTATGGATAGGAAGGTGTTCTTAATACACAGCTTCCAGGTGTTGCTTTTCTCTTTATATTAGATAGCATCCACATTCAAATTGCAGAGTCTGTTCCTAGACTGTCCTTAAATTTCAGTTATATAGTTCTCTGTGGACAGTTCATAGGGTTTCTGTTTCACAACGTGTCAGCCTCAAGCTTTTTATTCCGATATTGAAGCACCCTTTCTCTCCAACCATGCCATATAATCTCTGTTTATTCTTTGATGTCATCTCCTTTCAGATATTAGAGGGATGCTCTCCTTCATTGTTTTGCTAATAAGGCTAAATAAAGTCTTAGAATACTTTGTAGGTAAATAGATCTATAACGTAATATTCAGTTTTATGTAGGGACTGAAGTGACTTTTAAATCAAACATTAGAAAGCAGGCCTCTGAACACTACTGCAATTGAGATATATCCTCGTTAAGGTATCAGCCCAGAACTTTTTTTTCAAATTTAATTAGCTTCTGTTTAAAATCTATGAATAAATCAACACATGCTAAATGTTGATATACTGCATAGCAGTGAAGTAGAATAGAATTTAGGATTGTGTTATATCGTCCCTTTTTAGGGTCATAGAAATATTTGTCTGGTTTTATAATGGATAGATTATTGAACAATGGCTTTACTTACCCATTTTTTTAGATTTAACCTTTTCCTCTAGTATTTCAAAACAAATGTACTCAACCATGATAGCCATAAGTAGTGTTCTGGTGTTGCTTAGTGACAGTATTGACTGTTGGATGGGGATCTCTTTTAGCTGATCCCAGTCTCAGTGTTCAGGAAGAGTAGGTGTTGGAGTCCAGCCACTTTTTTAACACTTACCAAATGCATCTGGAATTCTGGGAGACTTATTTTTCTATTGGATTGTTACTTGACTTTACAGTTTAGCATGGAATCAAGAAAAACTAAGTTTGAAGTGATCTTTGGAGGTTTTTAATCTATGTTCTCTTAGCAAGGTAGGTTTGACTATAAATGTCATTCTTGTCAGGTATTTGCCTAATTTGTTCTTAAAAACCTCCCCATAGGGAGGTTTTTCTTACATGCCCTTTTCCATTTGCTCTAGTGTTTTACTGCCCTTTAATGCCAGATCTTTCTTGCTGCAGCTTAAGACCCTTATTATTTGTTCTGTCTGAATACTGATTGCGGAATTACAGGTCTGTGCTCATCCTGCGTGAAAGAGGGACATGATTGACTTTACTTGTGTATGTATTTTATGGTATTTTATTTAAGCATATGCATAAAATCTATTGCAGGATAAAGGCTGTGATTTTAGGCAGTGCTCATAAAATACGAAAGGAACAGTTTAGACAATCACAACATGAATTACTTAGTTTGTTCACCTAGATTTAGTTATATATCCCTTATTTAGATCTTTTTTTGAAAGAATAAAGGAGAGCTCCATCAAGAGCGTTTCACACTGAAGAAAAAAAGAGGAGTGTGCGTGTCTGTATGTATGAACATTCTACATATATATATATATATATCTATTTTGTTTAGAAGTACCTCAGGGAGTCCCGAAAAAACAGTTTCATAAGGTGGAAAAGCAGATCTATTGCTTGTATTGTTTTACTTCTAATATTCTGTGACTATATGATATATTTTGCAGGGCAACACAGTATCTTCTGTGTTTCCTAAAAAATGGAACACATTGTATATGTGCTGCCTTGCTGCCTTCTATAGCCTTTGGACCTAGAAGTAAGGGAAACAAATTCTCTGGGAATTCAAATAAATGGAAACCTGACTCATAAAATAATTTCATTGTTTATCAAACGTGTCTCATGAAAATAGTTTGACCATATCTCAGGATTAAAATTTTTCAGTTGTAACATAGTTGTATATCAGTGTGATTTTTCTATGTCTTTTCAATAAATTAAGAAAACCAAATCCTTGTCTATCTGAATCAACAAGGTTATCAGGATGAATAGATATCCCACAGCTGATACTTCATGGTGTTAAATTAATCTGTGGAAGAATGAAATACTCAGTCACTAGAATACGCATTTAAGACATCAGCTATTTTTGAGAAGTTATTTCAAAGTTAAGTTAATTACAATTATAAATTAAAGTAATTTCTTGTCAGTGCTAAAATATCTTTGGATTTGTCGATTATTATTCTTCTTTAAAGTAGTAGTTACATTATGGTTGATACTGTCAGACTGACATAGATCCTGTCCAGGCTAGCTTCTGAACAAAGAAAAAAAATAAAAAGCAAAGCAGGTCTGCGTCAATATTTCAGTATGTCTTTCTCCATCCTTCTCTGCATGTTGTTTTTAGCACTTCAGATAATTTTTTGAATACTTTTTTCTGCTGTGTCAAATAAATTGTGACCAGTTATACCCGTAACATTACGGAGTCACCTTGTGATGCATGCATAAATGACTAATGGCATGGGGATTTAAAGTTTGTGAAGCACCTTGGCTTCCTCCTGTAACTCTCTTATACATTTTCCAAAGATGGGGGGATAGACTGCACTTTCAGGTTCCTTTTCTTTGTGTAAGCAGGTGATTAATGAACCTGTAGTAATGAGAAATCTAAGAGTGCCTCGTCTTTCAAGAAAATAATGAATATTAAATTCATTCAACACTCTTAGAATAATAAATTAATTGTCTAATTTTTAAAAACTCCTTTGACTGTTTTGGAGGAATTGAGTTACCCTGATGGTGTGATCATGTCAGCCTTCTGTTGACTTCGTTGAGTAACGGGAATTAGACAGTCAAGGGAGGAAATAATGCAGAGAATTTCTTTTGGTTTTCATATGATTTTCGTACTGACTTTGGTCCATGTTAATGCACTGCTAGCTTTCTTTTAGCAAAAGACTTTATACTTTTCACAAGGGTATTAAAATGTGTAATGTTCAAGCTACAGATAAGTTATCATCCATCAAATTCTGGTTGTAAACTTAATATCCTCATAGCTTAAAGCTTGTAGATCAAAATTAATTTATTTTTATTATCTATTTATTGAGAAGTATTTCTTCAGGACTAGTGACTTGAGAGGTACACCATCGTGTTTAGAAGGGTGGTTTATATGAAAGGAGAATCCAGGAAACTTTAATTATGTGTTTCTTAACTTACTAGGAAGCGGTAGCTTAGTTTTGATTTCTTTGGGATTTTAATTTCATAAGATGAAGTTAAATTGTGGAGTTCTTGCTTCTTATTTTAAGATAGGTGCAACAGTAGGAAATGCTGTAACTTGCATTAAAATAAGAATGCTAAAAATGTAACCTTATTCTTTCTAAAAGATAAACTGTATGAGTTTTTTTCTCTAGCAATGTTTCTTCTTGGATACTCCAATTTAAGCTATGATAATAGGATATAGCTTTTCTATTATTATTATTATTATTATTATTTGTGCACTAAACAGTGTACTCGATTAAATTTTCTCTCTGAAGTATTTTAATATTAAAGCCATATTTTCATGTAGAGTCCCAAAGTGGTGTTTGGTGTTTCTTAGACTCATGGCAGAGCAAATTCCGGAACCAGAGACTGTGGAAAATAGAAAGACTATGCATGTAGGAGTTCAGAAATATGCAGTAGTTGAGAGCACCTAGTAGAACAGATAAAGAGAATTCGAATAAAAGAGTTCTTAGGTCGTTTTTATTTTTGATTTCATAACCCATTGTTTTTGTTCTTGTTCTTGTCAAGTCTCACTCATTCTTCCCTCATGTTTTTGAACCATGGTATTAGTCTGATAATATCCTGTTGTTACTATCTTGATAACAACGTACCCAATTTTGGTGAAACCCTTTATGGAGACAAAAGGACCAAGACCTAACTG